TTAAAATATTCTGAATACCAAACTCTTGTCAGATTTATGATTGCAAGTGCTTTTCCCATTCTGTATGTTGTCTTTTCAGTCTCTTGATATTATCTTTTGATGGACAAAAAATTTTAATTTTTTTGCAGTCCAATTTATCCAATTTTCCTTTTGTTGCCTTTGCTCTTGAAGTCAGATATAAGAATTCATTACCACATCTGAAGTTAAGAATATTTACTTCCCCCTCCCCAAAAAAGAATAATCTATGTTGTCTAACTTCACGGAAAAGTTAATACATTGAAACATTGTTCTTGAAAACATTGTTGGAATAGAATATCATGCTTTTGAACTGATTAACATTTGTTTCTTCTTGATATAGGAAGTATTAATAGCTTTTATTGAGTTGTTTTTAAGCAGCACAAGATTACTGAACTCTCCAGGATCCCGTTATGATTTGCAAAGCTGCCAAAATTTTAGACAAATGAGAATATGTAAACACACATGTTATCAGCCAATCATATTTGTGTTTAGAGATAAGGAGTCTCTGGTGGGCCACAAAAGACCAGTGGAATTAAAGATGTAAAATTCAAACCCTAGACTCCTTCCTGTATGATCATATTCTAGTAGGAGTTGTGTTTACTCTGCATGGAATAGGAAAAGGAAGACACACACTGAAGAAAACAGTGAGCAAAAGCAATATCTTCAAGTGTTCAGGACTGACACAGTGCTTAGCACATAGTAGGGTCATTAATACATGTTTCTGGAGATTATTTAAATTCTTATTTTACAAGAATGTTTTTAGTTAAATCAGGGATTGGCACGTCAGAGCTTCAGGCCAAGTCTGGTCTACCACCCTTTTTGTAAGTAAAGTTTTATTAGAACATATTACACTATTTATATATTCTCTATATCAGCTTTTGCACTATAGCAGCAGAGTCGAGTAGATGTGAAAGTGAATATAGGAACCACAAAGCCTAAGTCTTTACTGTTTGGCATTTTACAAAGCAGCTTGTGGTAGGTTGCTAATCTTTGAGTTTAATCCTCAATTTCAGGCCATTTGCAAGTTTTGTATTTCTTATAATCTTATCCAGTGAGTTTTGTAGGGTTCATATATTTGTTGTGTTGAAAATATTTTTCCCGACTTTTCCATACTTTGACAAAAATTGGAAAAGCCTATTATACCAGATAGATTCAATAGAGTCTAGATTCAGCTATTAGATTCATAAGTTGTTGAATTTTTGCCATATTTGTGTTTTTTCTCTCTGCACATGTATGTGCACATGTATTTTTGTTGTTGCTGCTACTGTGAGTTATTTGAAACTTGTAAATACTGTGCTCCTTCAGCATACAACTCTAAAAATATGAACATTTTTCTGCGTAATCCATTGTTTCAAAATTTGAAGACACATGTATGGGCTATTTATTTGTGTGTAAAGCTTATACACTTCTGTAGCACTTTGTTCATCCCAGTGTTCCCAGTGTTCTTATAAACTGTAGAAATTCTAAGTATAATACTCTAGTCATCTATTGCTTACACGTGATAGGTGAATAATAGCCCCCTAAAGAGTCCCATGTCCTAATCACTAGGCCCTGTGAACATATCTTTTGTGGCAAAAGGAACTTTGCAGATGCAATTAAGGAACTTACAAATGAGGAGATTGTGCTGTATTATCTGGGTAGGCCCAATGTAATCATGAGGGTCCTTTTAAGAGGGAGGCAGAAGAGCAAAGGCAGAGAACATGAATGGAAGTTGGAAGCAGAATCAGTGGGAAAAAAAGTATCAGTGCTATACTGTTGCCATTGAAGATGGCAAAGCTAAGCATTTTCAAACCAGATTTTAAAGCCATCAACTTCTGGTTCTTTTTTTTTTCCCCTCCAAGTCTTTGCCTCAATTTCTCTCCTCTTGCCATTTACTATTATCATCAAGAAGAAACCTGGTAGCACCTTCAACGCTTGCTTGGAAATCTTAGCTGAACCATCTGGTTTATAGTTTATTTGGTTCACTTTCTACATTCCATCTAACTGCAAGTGACAGGGTTACTGAACTTTCTGGTCCTACATATCAAAAATTGCCCTGCCATCAGTTTCTAAACAGATGTTCATGCTTTCCTTAAAATTCTCACAGGCAGCTTCCTCAAAGTCCAAGCTCTATGGACAAAACTACCTTCAAGATAAAGTGTATTACCAGAGCTTAACTTGGTGGAAGGGAAGTACCCAACTCCTACCCTCTTCTAGCCTTCCTGTTTTAGTGAAGGGAGTGGGAAGTGAAGCTGAGAAGCACTTGTGAATGTCACAGTCCAGGCATGCTGATTCCCTAAAAGACTGAGACCTAATGCGTTTATAGAACATTTTCTGCTGCACACACACACTTAACCACCACACCAATCAGTTGCATAATAACAGTGGATTAATACTGAAAAACTATAATGTGTATATGCTATTTTAAAAAGAAGTCTGTAGGAAAACTCACAACAATAGTGGGAACAAAAATTAGAACACTACAACATTGTGGAAAATTTTAGCTCTGATACCTTGCTATGGCAAATAGTAAATGTAGCCTAATTTCTAACCAGATAAACAGAAAGACTTGCCCAAAAGGCTTATCTCAGTCCCTTTTACTGAACACATCATACCTGCTTTCAACAAAAAATTACAAAATGCTAAAAAGGGAAAAAACACAGTTTGAAGATGTAACAGGGCCCCAGGAACATGGTCCTTGCTGTATTATTGGATCAACCTGGTTCTTTTTTGTTCCCTTTCTTCCTTCCTTCCTTCCCTCTTAGTGGTGGGCAGGGATGGTAAACATAAAACCAGGTAAAGTACCTGTAGTTGCTTAAAGGTCCTGAAACACAAGAAAACCTCTGAGTCCAACCAATACCCTATTTACAAAACCCTAGCAACGAGAACCCTACTTCCCCACTATCCCATCCTTGTGATCAGCCCAGTCAAACCAGGGCCCCTACCCCTCTCAACATAGGAGTATGATCATAGCAGTTGCTGCCCCTCCCCTAGTGTATAATCAACAATAAACATTCCTCCCTGAAAACCTATAATTGGCTTTGTCAGTTATAAGAGGTAAAGGTTTAAAGGTTTTGTCAAAGCTGTATGGGATTATTTGGTGGAAACCAAAGAGCTTTCAGAATCAGTAACAATTTGGGAACCACAAATGGACAGGGGTGTCTCTCTCTTTGAGACCCCTTGTCCGGTGTCTGTGACATTGGACTGCCGACTCGCCTGCACTACCCAAGTGTCAGCAAATGTTCTTTTTTTCCTCAAATCCTCCAGGAAGGTAAGTGGGACCATCCTGAGGCTTGGCTTTACTTTTGCTTGAAGTAAGAACAGGGTAGAGAGCTCTTAAATGAGTCAAATGGTGCCCCAACAGGCCCACAGATAGCATGTCTTTGGGTGCCCACTCTGAGCTGCTGGGAAAGGGAACAACTTGGACAAAAAATTAAGTAAATTAGGAAAATGGAGGTTTTCTGTACTTCTCTTAAGTCCGGGGATGCCACACCCTTGCTAGAAAGGTGGACAGCATGGGGTGGAAATCAACAACCTCTTTAGAAAAGTCTGTAAGAAGGTCTGTAAGATAATTCTGTGAGGAAAAGACTTAGAGGCGACCATCCTGTGAGGAAATAGCCTTTTAGGAGAAAAGTCTGTGAGGATTAAAATGTGGAGAAAAATTAGTAAAGAGAAAAGTCTATGAAGAGAGAATTTTGTGAGAACTAAGCATTCATATCGGGTTAAAGATGGTGCCTATAAAAAATTCTAAGCTCAGGAATTAATAGAAACTAATCCAAATTCTTTTTTAAGAAAACTTTTGGTTAACGAGAACTAGTTCAAAATGTAATGGTTTAAAGCATGCATATCTTTAACTTTAAAGATACCTGTGTTTGTTAATCAGAATTAATTCATGGTATCCAACAAGGAAGGGTAACTGACTTGGTTTCAAAGTTTAATGACTAATATCAAAACAGACCTAATAGGGAGTTTTTGTGGTTAAGCTCAAGTCAGAAATGTTAATCTGAAATCAGAAATGGCATCCTGAAGGTAAAAAAAAAAAAAAGAGGTAAAGGTTTAAACAAGTGAGGCAGTCATTTGGTATAGACTTTTTTTTTTTTTTTTAAAGATTTATTTATTTATTTATACATGCACTGGGTACAGTCAGAAGCACGGGAGGGTGAGAGAATTCACCAGAGCCAGAGCAGGGAGCAGAACAGGCAGGAGGACCGAAGTACACTGCTGAGGGGAGCAGCGGGCGGCAGGAGAGGTCTGCGTACCATGTGGGACCCTCCTCCGGTGGCTGGGGAGCAGCTGGGGATCGAACCAGCACTGCAGAGGCTGCGGGCAGCTTCGCAACCCAGCGCTCAACTGCTGTGCCACCGGGGAGGCCCTGGTATAGACTTTTATAGTTATTATGAATTATGTGTTTGAAATTATGTCCTAATTATTGCTAGTATTAGAAACATAATTTTAAATATTGAAAAGAGCAGCTTTTAAATAAAATTTTATGAGATTAGAAGGATTTATCAATTTAAGAATCATCTAATATTAAATCATTATAGGAATTTGAGTAAATGGAAAAAAGTACATTTTCTAGGGTTTGATCCAGGATTGTAAGGTTGGGACATTCAAAAGGAAATCAGGAGGAGCATGTTCTTAAATTGTGTGAATTCTGTGTTGGTTGAGGGAGGAGAAGTGGCTACAGGCTTGCTTTCTCTCTTAGCTAATATATTTGGAACTTTAAATGTGGGAATACTTTTTTGTCTTCTTCAGACACTCTTGAGTCTTTACCCAGCCAGCCCACATTTGGAAGCACTCAGACAAACGTGGAAAAGTAGGGCTTAGAGTGAATGGTGATGTCTCTCAGTCTTGCCACTCTGGCTGGTCTGACAGGCTTCCCTTCCATTCTAAATTCACCAAGAATGAAGAAATAACTCAATTCTATCAGGTATTGCAAGCATCCTGAAGTGATGATGACAGTACTTATTTCCTTAATCTCATACTTGGCTTTGTTTTTCCAGGTCTATAAAGGAGAATTTCAACTACCTGAATTTCTGAAAGAAAAACCTCAGGTACTGTGGATTCATCTGTAGAATATAGAGAAGTCCTACAAGTCAATTAAGAAACTTAACAGAAAATTGGGGACAAGACTTAACATACTTACTCTCATTAGTTTCCCTTAATACCTCACACACATACTTAGAAAAGTGCCTGTAACAGACCTTAACTTTTTTTTTTTTTTTAAGATTTATTTATTTATTTATACAAGCACTGGGTACAGTCAGAAGCGCTGGAGGGTGAGAGAATTCACCAGAGCCAGAGCGGGGAGCAGAGCAGGCAGAAGGACCGCAGTACACTGCTGAGGGGAGCAGCGGGCAGCAGGAGAGGTCTGCGCGCCATGTGGGACCCTCCTCTGGTGGCCGGGGAGTAGCCGGGAATCGAATCAGCACTGCAGAGGCTGTGGGCAGCTTCACAACCCAGCGCTGAACCGCTGTGCCACCGGGGAGGCCCAGACCTTAACTTCTAATAAATAAGAAAACTGAAGCCCATGGAACCTCAAGTTTGATAATTTAGCTAGAATGGCTCACACAACTCAGGAAAGTGCTATATGCTTAGGATTATAATTTTATTACAAAGAATATAAATAGGATCAGTCAAATAAAGAGACACATAAGACAAAGTCTGGGGGGATCTCAAACATGGAGCTTATGTGCCCACTTTCCATGGAATCAGGGTTATACATCAGTGTGTTCACCAACCAGGAAACTTCAGCATCCAGAGTTTTATTGAGGGGGGGGGCTGCCAAGGGAGGGTAATGTCTGTAATTGAATAATTAACCCTGTTACTGAACTCAATCCCCAGCCAAACTCCCCTGCTTAGAGGTTGTGTTGGTGCAAAGCCCCAACCTCTAAAAACACAGTTGTCTTTTCAATGACCAAGTCTCATCTGCAATCATCTATGAATATAAATTCAAGTATCCAGGGGGCTCATGAATAACAAAGACACCCCCCCACCCCCGTTACCAGGGAAATTTTTAAGAATTTAGTCTCCCTGCCAGGAACCAGGCAGAAAGACCAGTCTAATTGTTTATTATACAATTCTAGCAGACTGAGTTCATTAGAAAGTACAATCAGAGCCTGCAAGCTGCACCTGACATTCTATGCAGCGGTCACATCCATCTTGTGCTGAACAACTTTAAGGACTTTAAAATATCTTTTGCTTCCTTCAACAGACTGAGCAAGTGGAGTAACAGATGCAAGAACCTCTTTCATACACAAGGTGAGAGCTGGGAACTTTTCTCTGTCTTGGGTTCCCTGTTTGGGTTCATAGGAAGCAGGGTGATGGGGGTGGAGAGCACAGCTCTGGAAGTCATTCTACCTGGGTTTGGATCTTGGTTCTGTGTGGCATTAAACAACTTACTTAACTTCTCTGTGTCTTAATTTCCACAAATGTAAAATGAAGATGATATTAATAAGAGAATAGTGGTTAGAATTTTAGCCATAATAATGTCTACAAAAGTGCGGCACTGTAGGCACTCAGTGTTATTTTCAATATGAAGAGGGCTATAAAACGATAGCATATTGTAGTTGCAAGAAACCTAGAGCCCATCAAGCCCGACCACCTGTTTGCTGATAAGGAATCTAATCCTAAACAGAGTAGGTTGTTTGTCAAGGTTGTATCACAGTAAGGAGAAACCCAGGGCTAGAGAACAGCCTCCTGACTTTAAGGAAGGACTTCTTATAACACATGTGCTGCTTTCTCTGTGTGCAGGATATGCAAATGTATTTACTTTAATGTTTTTGGGGTTAGTTGGTTGTTTTTTAAGTCTGCCCTTGCTGATTTTAATGTATCATGATGTCTTACGTTTCTTCATTTGTCTCATGGTAACTAAGGGCTACTGTGTGGGCCAGGCCAGGCATGCCTTTATATCTAAGGAGTCTCATTGGGTACATATCTAGGGAGGTCAGCCAATTAATGGCAAAACTGGATTATGAACCCAGACCTTCTGAAGTAACTTCTGAGAACTAATAATCCCTTTCTCACACTTTAAGAGTCTGTTTTTCTCTGAGTGATGTGGTGATAGCCTTAATCATTTGTGATTTGAAAAGCATTTTAAAAAATCCTTCCATTTTCTTGTAAATAGCAAATTCATCTTTCCATGTGATTGAATGGTATTCCACTGTGGGTATATATCACATTTTCCATTATCCAGGCCTCTATCAGTGTGGAGTTAGGTTGCATCCATATTTTAACTATTGTAAATAATGTCACAATAAACATTATTGAGCATTTAATATATTTTTTAAAGATTTATTTATTTATTTATTTATACAAGCACTGGGTACAGTCAGAAGCACGGGAGGGTGAGAGAATTCACCAGAGCCAGAGCGGGGAGCAGAGCAGGCAGAAGGACCGAAGTACACTGCTGAGGGGAGCAGCGGGCGGCAGGAGAGGTCTGTGCGCCATGTGGGACCCTCCTCTGGTGGCTGGGGAGCAGCTAGGGATCGAACCGGCGCTGCAGAGGCTGCGAGCAGCTTCGCAACCCAGCTTTCAACCGCTGTGCCACCGGGGAGGCCTGAGCATTTAATATTTTGAACTGATGGTTTCATGTTGTTCAGATAGATGCCCAGAAGTGGAAATTGCTAGATCACATGATATTTCTAGTTTTACTTTTTTAGAGAAGTCTAGAGGTCTGCTTTCCAAAATGACTGTACCGTTTACATTCCCATCAGAGTGTATAACGGTGTATCCTTGCCAACAGTTATTAGGGGTCTTTGTGAGTCTTTGTATGTCATTCTCACAAGTGTGAGATGATTTCTCATTGTGATTTTGATTTGCATTTCCCTTAGTAGAAGTGGCAGTGTCCTATGTCTGTTGTCCTGTATTCCTTGTTCTGCACATTGAAGCTTCTGGCAGGTATCTAAAAGCATTCCTCATAGAGGGAGAATGTGCCTCTCCTGCAGTCTTTCTGAGGCAGCTGTTCTCATTGTCCATCCTCCTGCCTGGATGGCTTATGCCAGGCCCACAACTGGGAAGGAATCCGTGTGGTGCTGGGGAGGACCAACTGTGACTCCGACCTGTAATTGCGTTCTGTTTGTTTGCCCTAGGGGACACTGCTGCCTTTTCAGTGGAAGGGAAACTTCTAGGATTGGCTGTCTCCACTGAGATCAGTGGAGTGTGTGTACCGTGACCCATATCTCCTGTTCCTTTGCCAGGCTCCTCCCACTGAGAGGGTGGGACATCAACACACATTTGGGCCTTGCTGCGTGATCTGCTTCCCAAGCACAGTGCTCTTGATCCTAATCACATGTACAGCCCTGTGGGTAAGGAGTCCAAAGGGGTCGTGTGCTTTCTGTTAAAACTGCCCTGGTCCTCATCTTTTCTTACGAGATTCCAAACTTTGTTTTCAATAGAAGGGTTTAAAAATGGGATTCTATAAACAAAATTGGGCAGTTTCATCTTGGAATACGTTGTCTGTACACATTCTGATGTTTTGTAGAACACTTGTACTTGCTTATATGTATTGATGTGGATAATATTAAATATCTTAATTATTTAAATAATTCATTGTATTGTTTCTGAGAAGCTGAGAAATTACTGTATACATTTACAACTTAATGACTTTTGTATTTTATTTTTCAAAATAAAAGCTTTAAATGTGAAGCATTCTAGGAGTTTACATGTTTTCATTACTGTGATTTCAGGGAAGCAGTGAGATATCAGATGGTCTTCTGATAAACCATAGTTTCCTCTATTGATGTATGTAGATATCCTCTCTCGTCATCACTAATTTCTTAGTGAAGTTTTTCTGTAATTTATTTCAGACATTCAGCTGTCTCAGTATCCAGTTCTTCTAGTTCATGCTTACATAGTATATTTAAGGACAGAGAAGTTAGAGTTTCCAGATGTTCTCTAGAAGCCAAACAGTAGTAGTAATTCCCATTTATCCAATGTGTCCCATGCACTGGGTACTTGTTATATATATGTTATCTCATCTCTGGCCTGAAAACTATCTCCTCCAGTCATATCCCATCTTAGTAATTGTTTTCTACCCACTCTCTCAGGCCAGAAACCTGAGAGTCACACTTGATTTTACTTTTTTGCCCTTTTTTTTTTTTTTTAAAAGATTTATTCATTCATGCACACAAGAACCGGGGCACAGGCAAGATGCACAGGAAGGTGAGAGGATTCACCAGAGACAGAGGGGGGAACAGAACAGGCAGACTGACTGAAATACACTGCTGAGGGGAGCAGTGGGCGAGACAGGAAAGGTCTGCCGCGCCATGTGGGATTCTCACCAGCCGGCTGAGATCGAACCTGCGCTGCAGAGGCTGCCGACAGCTTCACAGCGCTGTGCTCAACTTCCTGCACCACCAGAAGAGGTCCTCTTTTTTGATTTTTGTCCCTTTTCTCACCCACATATAAGACCTTTGATTCTACCTTCAAAATATTTCCTGAAACCATCTTTTGCTTTCAATTCTACTGCACTCAGCCTTATCTTACACTTCACCATCTGTCATAGTTGGTACTACATAGTTGCAAGAGAGAGCCTTCTAAATGATATCCCATTCCTTTTCTTGTTCCCCTCAAATCTGTTTAGCACACGGAAGAGTAATAGTTTTTAAATACACATCTGAATATGACTCCCCCTACTTTAAACTTCTGTGGTACTTACTATTTCAGTTAGAATAGAATCAGACTGCTGGATCCAGCCATTCTGCCATACATCTCCAAGTATCTTTGGGCTCCAAGTATCTCCTAGATCACACCAAGCTTTTCCTACCTCTGCACAGAGTATCCATTCCCTTGGAATGTTCTTCCCTTTGCTCTTTGCCTGACAGCCTTCTGCTCCCTTCGCTAGCCCCAGTGAATTCCACTGCCTCAGAGAAAATTTCTCTAATCTTTTATTGAGCTCTTAGATACCTCTTTGCCTAGTTTTTTCACATTATCACCATATCTCACTTTTAGTTTTTAATCTGCTTGATGATATTTTAAATTATCTCCTATACTAGATAGTAAGTCCTTATATGGTAGACACTATATCTTTTCTTGTCTGTTTTCACATCCCTAACACCTAGCAAATAGTGTGACACAATCTAGTAAAATACTTGGTGAATGGTTAATTTCCCTAGAAACCTCTGACATTCCATTGTAAAGATGAGACAGAGGCTCAGCCAGGTCAGCTCACTTATACAAGGCCCCTCAGCTGGCTGGTGTCAGGACCCAAGCGTGACCCTAATATCCCTTTTTCCACTCCATTCTTCTAATCTTGTTCCCTTGAATTTAAAATGAAAATTACTGCGAGATCAATCCTTTGTTCAGCACTATGTCTTAAGTCACTCCTTTGTCCAAAAACCTTTGATTCTCTAATGCCTAACATACTATACCTAAACTCTTCTACCTTCACAATATGGACTTACTATTTTCTTGTGTACCATACACTACTTCTCTGTCTCCTTACACTCCTTTCACTTTTCTGTGTATTCCAGATGCCTATAAACCCAACCCCTCTTCCCTCTACCTGTGAAATCCCACCTTCATTAAGGACTCAACTATCCTAAACCCCATTTCTTATTATTCATTTGTTGCATCTTCCAAACAGCAATAAATTCAATTTTGGCATAATAATATATATTTTTAAAAACTATTTTCTCTTTTTTCCCGTGTTAGCCTTATATGATCAACTTTGTATGGAGATCAAACATCCTATCAGAATGGGAGACGAGGGTATCTTTAAAGTATAACCCATCTGACTCCAATACTTGCCCATAAGGTAATATGATTTTTATTCCCCACATCTTCCCACCCCTGGAATCCGCTATTCTGGATGGGAGTGTATTGGAACAGGAAAAGGGCAGAGACCCACAACCACCGCACAAATGGCTGACTCAGGGAAGAGGAACCACTGCACTACTGGCTGGAAGAAGCAGATGCTCTGGTATGTCCACCCCTATTGACATTTCTCCCTTTCACAAAGCCTTATCTCCTTCTAGTCTGAGCACATTTCTTTTGATTCCTGTGAAGAAAAGCATTTGTGCTCCCTATGACATATGACCTTTATGAAAGTGACTGTAATTGTGAAATGTCATTTTATGGAATCAAGTAGAACTCCTATTGAACAAATGAAAGATGGTTGAAATAAAATTTAAAGAGGTAACTGGATAAGGGGCCAGGATAGACCTGTGGCCTATGACTATCAAAGAGCTTCCTAGAGCCAGCGTGGCCATGACCACAGTCATCAGTGGCTATGGGAAACACTTGGGGAGAACATCAGCCATGAAGAATCATAGAATTTAATGAGGTAGAAAATTAGCAATCAGGTCTTATGTCTAGTTCTTTAATCCATTTTGAGTTGATTTTTGTGTATGGTGTGAGGTAGTGGTCAAGCTTCATTCTTTTGCATGTAGCGACCCAGTTTTCCCAGCACCATTTATTGAACAAACTTTCTTTGCTCCAATGCATAGTCTTTGCTCCTTTGTCAAAGATTAGTTGACCATAAATCTGTGGGTTTATTTCTGGATTTTCTATTCGATTCCATTGGTCTGTATGTCTGTTCTTGTTCCAATACCATGCAGTTTTGATGATTATGGCTTTGTAGTATAGTTTGAAGTCTGGGAGTGTGATGCCTCCATTTCCTTCTTTTTTTTTCAGTAGAGCTTTGGCTATTCGGGGTTTTTGGTGATTCCATATGAATTTCATCAATAATTGTTCTATTTCTTTGAAGAATGCCATTGAGATTTTGAAACCATAAAATACATAGAAGGAAATATAGGCGAAACACTACGGGATTTGCACATCAAAGACATCTTTACAGACACATCACCCAAAGCAGTGATAGTGAAGAGAAAGATAAACAGCTGGGACTACATCAAATTAAAGAGCTTCTGCACAGCAAAAGAGACAATAACAAAAACAAAGAGAAACCCCACCAACTGGGAGAACATTTTTGCACCCAACACTAATGATAAAGGACTGATCACAAAAATCTGCAAAGAGCTGATGAGACTCAGCAACAACAAAGAAAATAATCCAGTCAAAAAATGGGCAGAAGAGCTAAAAAGAAACTTCTCTGAAGAGGAAATGCAAATGGCCAACAGACATATGAAAAAATGTTCAACATCACTTGTAATCAGGGAAATGCAAATCAAAACTACCATGAGATACCATCTCACACCAGTGAGAATGGCACATATTAAAAAAACTAGCAACAACAAATGTTGGCGAGGGTGTGGAGAAAAAGGAACTCTTCTGCACTGTTGGTGGGAGTGCAAACTGGTCCAACCACTATGGAGAGCTGTGTGGAGACTTCTGGACCTACTAAACATAGAGCTTCCATATGATCCAGCAATTCCACTCCTAGGTATTTACCCAAAGGACACAGAAACATCAATTCCAAAGAGCACCTGCACCCCTATGTTTATAGCAGCACTGTTTACAATAGCTAAGCTTTGGAAACAACCCAAATGCCCAAAAATAGATGACTGGATCAAGAAGATGTGGTACATATATACCATGGAATATTACTCAGCATTCAAAAAAGATAAACACATGCAATTTGCAGCAACATGGATGGCGCTGGAAGGGATCATGCTCAGCGAAATAAGCCAAAAAGAAAAAGAAAAATACCGGATGGTCTCACTCATAGCAGGAATCTAGAAAACTTAAATAAGGGACCAGGAAAATGAATATAAGAAAGTGAAAATCAAAATCAACAAAAAACTATGAACCAGAGACACTTTTTGGGGGGTGGTGGGGGGCGGGAGGGGAAGGATTGGGGTCAGAATGGGGCGTTTGCAATTGTATGGGGGAATATAAAAATAAAATTTATTATTTAAAAAACAAAAAAAAAAAAGAAAATTAGCAATCAGGTAATCATTCTAGTAATATTTATCAGGAACTTCTTATGGTTCAGGCCCTGTGCTAAACTCTTTACATTTTCAAACTCATTTAATTCTCATAATCATCCTTCAAGAAGGTGCTATAACTAGCCACGTTTTACAAGGTAATGAAACACTGACTCAGGCAGATAAAGTACAGAGTACAGCTAGTAAGTGATGGAGTCAGGACACAAATACAGGTAGCCTGGCTCCAGCCTACACCCTTAACACTACCTCTAGACAGTCATCTTTATAGAAGAATAGTAACTTGTCATTAGTATTGAGTGACAACTATCTAAGTATAGTTGTATAGTTGGAATATCTCTAACAACCCTTTTGTTTAGTAATTTTCCAGGTGTGATTGGGTACATCCAGAAGTATAGGCAGATTGCTAACCTTGAGAATTTATGGTCTTGGTGAAAATCAAGAAAAATGCACATAAAATAATTGCTTTGAACTCTAGCTAACACAACTTAGAGTATTATGTACCAAAACCTGGCTAGTAGGTGATGGATAAAAAACAGTCTAGACGATACTTCATTCAGTGTTGCCCTAAAATCTGTGTTTCTAGGGAGCTACAAATCCTGGGACTACATATGCTTTTTCTTCTGGCCAGGTCAGTACTTTCAGGATTGAGTTTCTTTCTGTGCTTGTTTGTGATTGCCCAACACAGTCTTCTGCATAAAGCAGAGGTCTCCCTTAGTTATTCTGAATTAAACAAATAGGAAATTTTTATTCATTTTGGGTTTAAGTCCTAACAAACCATTTATTGAGTATTAAATGTTGTGT